GTAAAACAGCGTTGTGAGCAGCTGCAGGGCGTGGAAGATGCCGACATGGACAGTGAGCAGGAGGGTGGAACACCCGGGTATGACTGGCTGACGACGGCTAATAAGCCAAAAATGGCCATTCCAGTCTCCCTTGTCTTTGTCGGTAATAACATACTGCCTATATCATGCGCCGCTGTGCGGCTGCTAGTTGGGCTCGAGAGAGAGCCCTTAAGGCACAACGGAACGAGTGAGTTCCGTATGAACGATCGGTGAGCGCCACGCTACCATTGTATATTCCCGATCGAAACCGACAGGGCAACGGGCTCGTGACCCAGTAGTTAGAGGCGTGGACTTCTAACTAACAGGTCGCGACTGCGAGCCTCGGGTGTTCTATACTTCGGGGTTGGATATGACTGACTAACGACGGCTAATAAGCCAGCAATGGTCATTCCAGTCTCCCTTGTCTTTGTCAGTGATAACATACTGTTCACTTTATCCAAACACCCCAGTCCATTTCGTGGGACACTACGCCATCACCCCACCAAGAAACTACTGAGAGTTAGGCGGCGCGAACCCAGTCTAGTCACAGACGCTAGCCTCTTCTCCTGCCCTCATCGTTTTACCTCAAAAATTTCCACATATTGTTTTACTCATGCAGCTTCTGATGATGGACTCCTCTATGAGTTCTAAAACTCATTCTAACAAACCTACTGTTTCAGTAATCGTGCCCTCATGTTATTCGCAACAAGAAACTGAGACTTCCATATTCGCCTTCATCCGTGACATCCGGTATTATTTAAATAGACATTTCGCGATCTTTAAAAGCTCCATAATTGCAAAATTTAAACTGAAAGACACCTTCTTCTATATAATACATGTTTGGGTTTGTAAAGACAGTGAAAATCATAGGGAGAAATAGTACTACGTAAGTATTCTTTCTTGGCGAGTTGGATTTTCGCGGAAGAAGTAATGCATTACAAAGTGCGTACGAGAAAGGTGATTTGTGCATGTCTTCTATAAAACATGCCTGGATTTATAAAGGCACCCGAACTCAATGAAAGAAAACGTGTCATATAAGTAGTCATTTGTTGTGAGTGTGATTTTTTTGCTAGTGGCCCGGATGGCTCGCATTCGAAGGCTGAAGTGCACGGTGGACATCGTCTAAATCGAAAAATCGAACTGTGGACTATGCCGTGTGGTAATCAATATCGCAACGCCATCTAAGCAAATCCTCCCCCCCATCCCACCCAAACCTGAATCACATTACGACACTTCCGTTGCGCCACCTGCTGTACATCAGATTGCCAGTCCGCTCCCCCTTGGATTCGGGGTGTTATTTTGCAGTCAGCGTCGTTAGTTACGGTGAGTGACCCATCTCATAAAATGTTGCCAAAATTCTGAAATGTGTTTCCGATTATGAAGGATTACTTAGATGGGGTTGTAATGCTGATTATCTTTCGGCATAATCCTATAATATTCCGGACTCGGCAGGACGTCAGCTTTTGACTACATTTCTTTCCAATCTCCTGTAGAATCCATGCTCGGTTAAAAATGTCTACTTAAGTAGCATGCATTTTTAACTCTGATTTTTGATGGTCTTACGAATTCAAATATATTTTGTAAAAACCACGAACAAAACTATTCATTCTTTTACTCCTTGGATGGAGAATCACGTGAACTTCATTATTTATACTTAAAGAAGGAATATAATTAGGTTTTTAAAAAGTTTTATAATCCCCGAATAATTTGGAGCCTGATCAGCCGTTGCATTAGCGCCCAGTGATTTCAGTCTACAAGGTGCATGAGTTCCGCATAAGGAAAATCATATGTCTTTAAAAGGATGCCATATTGGGTCCATAAAATTTTGCAATGGATGCAGACTATGTTGTACATTTCATGAGGAGCAAAAGTGAACGGACAGGTACGATGTTGTATGAATGGACATCGCACAGTCTCAGAAAATCTCATAGTTAGAAACTTTTTTGAAACCGAATTATACTTTTCTTTGAGTATAAATAATGAAGTTGACAGGATTCTCCATCAAAAGAGTGAAAAAAAGAATATTTTTGTTCATGCTTTTTGTAAAATATATTCAAATTTATAAGACAGTCAAAAATGAGTGTGAAAAATGGATGCTACTTAAGTCGTCATTTTTTTACCCAGCAGAACTTCTACAGGAGATTGAAAAGAAGTGTGTTTAGAAGCCGACATCCTGCTAAGTCCGAAATATTATAGGATTATGCCGAAAGCTAATCAGTACTACAACCCCATCTAAGTAATCCTTCCTAATCGGAAAGGTATTTCGGCATTTTGGCCAACATTTCATAAGATCGGTCACTCGCTGTAAATGGCTCGCCTGCGTCTCAATCACAGACCCAACGTTGGCAAAAAACGCAGATAATGAACACAAAAGCACCCTAGTATGCCAAACACACTCAACCGAGGACCTTGTAACGCAGAGCCACTGACAGGGAACAGCCTCGCTCAATGACTGCTTCGTCCTGTTTCGATGCCGCTTACAGGCTGATCTGTCTTTTCCACGCAATAGGCAATAGTTTAATTGGCGTACCACACTCTAGGTCGCGGTCAGCATACTGCAAAATCCAAAAAACCTACATTTTCTTAATACATTCGACGACATTTAGGTGGGAGGGAAATTTCCAGAAGAGGTACTCACACGTACAGACTTCACTGACAAAGTTATTAAAAAAACTGGCTAATCTTTCAGCATGCTCTAAACTGGCACCTGGCCGAGTCACCGCGAAGGGGATCTGCATCGAAAACGTTTCTTGGATCATTACCTCGCGTGCCCTCAGGGTCCTTGTCATACGATTTTAAATGTCTCCCTTTTCAGTTTGCAAGGTACATTCCACGGCTGGAATTTGCACCTAGTCTCATACCTTTTACCCGTATCCTCTTGTCCGAAAGTCCGGGCACCCATTTTTGTCTGAGATCGCATTTACTTTTAGTCCGCGTGCGTTTCTAGAGTATTCTGTGGACGTTGATCAAGATTCATGAGGGTTGGGAAAGACCATAGTAGCAGGCATAACATACTTCCTACTTGTAGTCCAAAAGTGATACTATTATTAACCACCGTTTGAATCTGCAAGGTTATCTGTATTTTTCTAATTACCCCTTTTTACTGTCTTACTACATAGCTTTCGTTTCTTCAAGTTCTACTACTTCTACTCAAACCTTGTTGTTCAAAAATCAAAAGGAAAAACGCATGCTACTTAAGTAGCCATTTCTTACCGAGTTCGGTTTCTACAGGAGATTAAAAGGCAAAGGTAACATCCTGCCGAGTCCCAAATATTATAGGATTATGCCGCAAGATAGTCAGTACTACAACCCCACCTAAGTAATCCTTCCTAATCGAAAACGCATTTCAGCATTTTGGCCAACTTTTCATGAGATCGGTCACTCACTGTACGTCCGCTGCCTTACGTGTCATCTTCTTCCTTTTCTCACAGAGAAGCCATGGAGTTGGCAAACATGGATCCCCTGAAGTTGAAGTCAGAGGAGGAGCTTGCACGCGATCTGGCGCGACTCAGCCTGATCCGGAAGGAGCGAGAAGAGGCGGCGAAAAAGCGCCAGGAGGAGAGGAAGGGTGTGTGTGTGTGTGGTTTTTTCCCCTCTCTATCTGTCTTGTGTGTTTTGACAAACAGAGGTTTACGCCTACGTCCGGATGAGAAGGCGAGCCAGGATGTTCGAGTAGATGACTTTTTTTTAGTAGTGGGGCGCTACAAGATTGCACCTAGCCCGCGTCTTGCTTTAATTCGCTCGCGCAAATTGCCCAGTCCTGAAGTTGCCTTTTACCGCGGAGAACTTGAAGAATGGGCAACGGCAGAATTTCACCACACTCTACGTACTGTCCGTAACTCGTCGATAACAGTTTCGGCCTGTTCACGAGGTATTAGCTGTGCCCAACGAATGATTCTAGAGGAGAGCTGCATCGCTAGAGATTTTGGCAGGGGGTATACGATGTCTTATTTTTCTTACTTTTAAGAATAGTCGATGTTAGTTTGAAACTTAGTTGGCAAGATCCTTTTTCGTAGTCGTATCTCTTAGGGATTAGGGTTAGGGGTTGGGGTTAGGGCTAAGTGTTAAGGTTAGGAGTTAGGCTGGGGCCTGTCCACTGCAGGTACGCCAACGAAATAAGATATGACCCATTACTTAGTGTCATAATAAAAAAAGAGAACATATTGAACCGTTGGCAGCTGGCATTTTTGACTCCTAGTACAACCGAATCATATTGTTGACTTTGGTATCCAGAAAACGTTTGCCTACTCATGCGACATTAGTAGTGTTTTAATTGCAGCTAAAGAAGCAGAGCGTGCGGCCGCCCAAGCGCGTGCTCAGGAACGCCTAGCAGCCCTTCAACAGAAGGGAAAGAAGAAAGGCGGAGGAAAGCCGAAGACCTCTACGAACACCGGTGCTTCTGCGACCTCCTCCTCGACCCCCTCCGTGCCGGCCACGGAATCCTAGAAGCAAAATCTCCTGCCCCCCCCCCTCTCCCACCTTCTTCCATCTTGATACTACTGCTTGTGCAAATTTACTTTTGATCGTATCTTTTTGTCGGATTCGCTCGCTCATCCACGTATCTTTTCCTGCCGCTCTACTTGTTTTTCGAGGATTTTCATGAATTGATTGCCACAAGTACTTCGCCCTCCCCCCATTTCGCCCCATACATACTCTTCTGCCCTCGATGGGCTCACCTCGGTCTATGCTCGCTGTATCTCAGGCAGGACTTCTGAGTCACCGCCCCCTCCCCCCACCACCACCCACGGACTCATAATATGTTGACATTTTGGATACTCAGCGTCTTCTTGCTGTTTCTGCCCGACATCGACATCCCGCATGATACTTTTCCTCAGCGCTACTGGGGGCGATGTCGAAGGCAGGCTTGCGTGCACCCATCACAGGCTGGTATCCGGGGCAGTCTTGAGGTGTTAGTGCTAAAAAAAGGTGATTTTACTTAAACGCTTAGGGGTAAATGTGAATTTGGGACAAAATGAAGACAGCTACGGAGCTATGGCCTGCACGCAGTGGCAGTTCGACCATCGCAGGTGTTGACTTCCACAACCATCCCATGGGGTGAACGCAGCAGCAGCAGCAGCAGCAGCAGCAGCAGCAGCAGCAGCAGCAGCAGCAGCAGCAGCAGCAGCAGCAGCAGCAGCAGCAGCAGCAGCAGCAGCAGCAGCAGCAGCAGCAGCAGCAGCAGCAGCAGCAATGACTTGCGTCTGAGTTAGTTTGTAATGAAATAGTCTTACACAGCACCTGTCGCACTCTCCTCCGTCTTCCATCTTGATTCGACCACGGGGTGGCCATGAGTGCGGTGGCAGACCAGGCCGAACGGGTCGTCTACGCGTGCCACGCACCGTCTGGTCTCTGTTCCAGATGTGCCTGGCTGCAGTCAGGGCGGGCCGAACCCCATATGAGCGAGAACGCCACAGTGGCTACATTAAGAAGGAGTCATTTTAGTTCTGGGGAGGGGGCAGCAGGTTTAAAACTGCTTCCTGGGGCTCGCCTGTTCACTACTATCAAGGAGCAGGTTTCCTGTCAGTTGGAAGTCTGTCAATGTACGACTAATGGCGCTGCAGGATAAGTCCAAGCGTGAAGAATGTGCTGATATGCCGTGAGAGCGGACTCAGTTTCGGCCCGATTCCCTCTTGTTCCTCTTATGCTCGTAAGGAGTGGGGCGTCGGAGACTGTGCACATTGCAGCAACAGATGAATATCACTTGTATCGCGTTTTTGACCGAAAGTTGGGTTGCGACGTGGGGGATGCGTGTCCATATCTCAGTCCACGGAGAATCCAGAACCCATGCCTGAAGCAGCTTTTGGTCTGATTTGTTGAATGACTGTGGGATAGTCCTTGCACCCGTGATCCGAGCCCAGGTGGCTGCCGCACTTCCAGATTGCGTTCGTGGATAATGCCGTCTTGTGGTGTACCTGTATCAAAAAATCGATGCCAGTTAGGCACCACGTCATTTCTTGGTCTGGCCTTTGCATACTACTTATAACTCCCATTATTAGGCATTTATTATGGACCGTTTGACTGCAGAGTGGTTCCCTTCTAAACCAGATTTTCAAACCTGAATTGGTATCCCTGTTGCCCTCATTTATCTAAAATCTATTATGACCCAACCGTGAAGGACTCGACGCCTCGGTGGGATTCTAACCCGCAACAGCGAGGTAAAGGCTTTAGTACAGCCAACGCTCTAACCACTTGAGCCGTGGGTCAAGTTACCCTCCCAGTCTACTGCAACGTACGGGATTCACCATATCTGATACAGCAAGCTGACTGTCTAGGCCAGATTTAAAAATCTACCAAAACACGCATTATTTACGCGAGGCTGGTAGTCATATGATGGATTCCAGATTGATAACTCAGGAAATCCGTAGATGTTTTGGCAGATTTTGAATAATTCATATTGATCCAGCTGTAAAAAACTCGGCGCCTCGGTGGGATCCGAACCCACGCAGAAAGGGGAAGGCTTTAGTACAGCCAACGCTCTAACCACTTGAGCTACGAGGCCCCGCCGGACGACGCGAGTTTAATCACATTTGGGTCAAGTTACCCGCCTAACCTACTACAACGTCTGGAATCCAACAAATCTGATACGGTAAGTTGACTGCCCAAGCAGGATTTCCTAAGTAATGCACCTAGAATCCACCAGATGACTACTAGGCTCAAGTAATTTATAGATATTTTGGTAGATTTTGAATTCTTCATATTGACCCAACTGTGAAAAACCCGGCGCCTTGGTTGGTTTCGAACCCACGCAGAAAGGGGAAGGCCTTAGTATAGCCAACGCTCTAAACATTTGAGCTACGAGGCCCCGCTACGACGCGAGTCTATCACAGTTGGGTCAATATATATTATTCAAAATTTGCCAAAACATCTCTGAATTACGTATGCCTGGTAGTAATCTGGTGAATGCTGGGGGAATTAGGAAATTCTGCCTGGGCAGTCAGCTTACTGTATCAGATTTGGTGGATTCCAGACGTTGCAGTAGGTTGTGCAGGTAACTTGACCCAAATGTGATTGAACTCGCGTCGCCTGTCGGGACCTCGTAGCTAAAGTGCATAGAGCGTTGGCTGTACTAAAGCCCTCCCTAACTGCGTCGGTTCGAATCCCACCGAGGCACAGAGTTTTTCACACTTGGGTCAATATGAATAACTCAGGAAATCCTGCTTGAGTAGTCATCTTTCTGTATCATATTTTGTGGATTGCAGATGCTACAGTAGGTTGGGCGGGCAACTTGACCCATATGTGCTTAAACTCGCGTGTCGAGGGGGAACTGTTGCAACAAAATGGGTATAGTCGCACGTGTTCCCATAATGCACGCAAGGTAAGAAGATATCAGGTGTCAGTCCGGCAGTGAGGCCCAAAATGCCGATAGGGCTGTGATCCGAAGTTTTAACAAAGTTGCGAATCCAAGGTTAAAACGCTTGCGGGCTGAGCTGCCTGAGGTCTGGACGACTGTGGCAACCTGAGTGTGCGCGTGCATTCGGCCTATACCCCGCTCATTTCGGTCGGCACGCTTACACGCGAGGCTGATCTGCTGGGCAGCACGTCTGAAAGGGGGCGCGGGTCATTGCGTCAACGTTGAGGTCGGTAGATCGGGCACAGTGCGTATGAACTATAGTCAGGCGCGGCCTACTAAATATGACAGTTCGACCATCGGTTTCGATGATGTCCACCGTGTGCCCCACAGTTGCAGCAGCAATGGGAGCAGGGACGGTGACTTACGCAGGGGTTTATAGTGCCCGTAGACTTGCGTACCATCTACCTACACTCTCTCCTCCTCCCTCGCCCGAGCCGGGTGTCAAGATAGAGTCAAGAAGACCGGAGACGAGGGAGACCGCAGGTGGATGGCTCGGACGGATCCTCACCTTGGCGTTCCACCACACCCCGTGGTCCACACAACAAATGACCAGGATTTCAACCAACACAACAGAGATTTGGAGGCTGGCACGGCCGAAGCCGCACCTGGGCGTGCTGCCAACGCCTGGCTCGGATCCCACACTGTGGTGGGAGTGCCATAAAGGCCACATTAAAAAGGAGCCATTGCAGCCTGACTCTCAGACCGCCTCCGGTCAAGGAGGAGGTCCAAGGTACCTCGTCAGTTGTCAACCTTCCAAGCCACGGCTTTTAGCGCACCGTGATAGCTTCAAGCGCGTCAGATTGTTTATAGTGAGGAGGAAGTGCGTTGAGTCGTCGACCTCACTCTCCCTTCCCACTCCCACACCCCAGCCGCTGTCCGAGCCGGTCAGCAGACTGAAGTGGGGAATGGGCGCGGTGGCTGTCATGGTCGACTGACCATGACTGCGCGCGCCACGGCAAGACCTGGCCCCCCTACTAAATATAAAGACGTACACACACCACTCGGACCTGACTCCTCCAAGAAGGAATCATTGTACAAAGGACAATTTGGCGAGCATACATAAGCTTTCAATAAATTCTCGCCAGGCCTATACACTTATATTGCTATCGAAATGATTGAAAGGAAAATGCGGGGAAGCAGAAGTTATTCTGTAGCTGGGGTTTGGGGGAGTGTCTGGGTGGGTGAGGTGGAAAACAAAATTAGCGTCAGTGTCAGGGGGAGAAGGGGGTGGGGGGGGGGCATCTGGACGGGTGATTATACGTAGGTGGCTGGCATAGTGGCTTTGGACCATGGCAATTGTGGGGCCTGTACGAAGTTCTTTTGTACGCATAGAATTGGTTTGTATAGCCTGATTGCAGCCGCCTCTGTCGCTGCCAACAGACACTGTCCAAGTGACTTTGGATAGTTTTACGGGACCTTGTAAATCACTCGGAATGCCTGTCCGGCATCTGCACAATGATCTGTGCCTACCATGTAGGCGAGGATGGAGCTGTTGACGTTCTTTATTTTGCCCTTTCCTAATTGTGCTGGAAGGTATTCTCTTATTCTTTTGGATAAACGCCGGCTCGTGCGATCGATATATTCTGCCCCACAGGAGCAGGTGAAGGAGTAAATACACATATAAGTGGTCTGGGCTGGTAGTTTGTCCTTGCCCTCTCCGTGTAGGATGGGGCTAGTGGAGAAGCGTACATGGGTGTCAGCTGCTGGAAAGGTGCGTGATACAGCTTAAGTTATGCGCCCTCTTAGAAGTTAACTTGTCGCGTCCCCTTGAAACGGGACCTTGATGAAAAACCCCTTCTTGTCTGTCGTCAGCGTCGGGTACTTTGATGGTCTTTCGGCCATGTACTTGGCATCAGGGTCCCGTTTCAAGAGGACTCCACAAATGAACTTCTAAGAAGGAGCACAAATGTATCGCGCACCTTTCCAGCAGCTGACACCCGTGTACTCTTCTCCACTAGTCCCATCCTACACGGAGAGGGCAAGGACAAACTACCAGCCCAGACCACTTCTGTGCGTATTTACTCCTTCACCTGCTCCTGTGGGGTAGAATATATTGGTCACACGAGCCGGCGTTTGTCCAAAAGAATAAGAGAACATCTTTCAGCTTATGTATGCTCGCCAAATTGTCTTTTTAATTCTTCAACTGGAATTTTTGCAAAGCTAAAATCATTGTTCAACACATCACCAGCGGCCTAAGCGTTGTCTGTCGTCCAAAACACTGACCTGGCGACTGTGATGGACTTCCCTACTGACAAAGGTAGGAACGGCTGGCCGTCAGAAGGTGGGCAAAGTCTGCGGTGTGGGTCTGGGTCTGCTGGTCATCGGGTGCTTCAACACGTGAGCCAAGGATGGCGTCGGAGAACGCTGGACCGGAGCTTCAAGGTAGGACGAACATAGTAACATCACCGACAAAGACAAGGGGACTGGAGTGGCCACTTCTGGCTTATTAGCCGTCACCAGCCGGTCATACCCAACCCCGAGGTGTGGAATACCAGGGGTTGGATCTCGCGACCTGTTGGTAAGAAGTCCAACGCCCCTGGCCACTGAGCCATGGGCTCGTTGTCCTGTTGGTTGCGATCGGGAATATAGAATTGTGGAAGGGCGTGGGATCGAGCCCAGGGTAGATACGGTTTTTCAGAATTTATCCATGCATTTTGAATGTTGGAGTTTAGTTTTCGAAAGTCAGAATGCATAGCTTATTCCAGTTTACAGTAGATGCGCGATCTCACGAAATGCTCAACGAAATTCTGAAATGTGTCTTTGATTAAACGTGGTTACTTAAGTAGGGTCGTGTGACTAGCTGTCCGCATTTGAACGAGCAAAAATCATCCTCAATAACGGTTAACTACTTAGGTAGAATGAATCCTCCCCATTGATTTTCGACGGCTTTATATATTTAAATATATTCTATAGAAAGCATTTAAGAAGCATTTTCTGTGTTCTGTTTGTAGCAAGTTACGCCTTCTCTAAATCTTATATTTGAGTAAAGTGTATTTTTGCTTTTTGAATGTTTTTAATTATGTGATTCTTAAAGATCGTGAAATTTATCGTATCCATTCTCTTATTAATATATACAATGTAGTCTATATCCACTAAAAGTTTACAAGTCCTATATGGCGTCTTCTTAATAGCAAACTTGTGTACGTTTTCTTACGGAGAAGATAAACAGCTCGTGGTTTAAAAACCATGGACACAAGTGAAACCGCAGGTCGGGTTCGAAATTATCAGGAATTGAGAAGGTCTTTTTAAAACCGAAAGGTACACTTCATTCAAGCATAAAATTTACAAGCGTACTTTTCTTTCTGAATTTTTAAGAGACATCGAAACTCAGTAAGAAAAATTAATACTATATAAGTAGTCATTTTTGTAGAGCGTAATTTTTTCAAGCGTCCAGAAATAAGCTCATTCAAAAGCCTGCATCCTGGCGTAACTGAAATTGCTTATGAGTATACTGTGTGTCAGTCTTACGATCCTACGTAAGCAATCATTCCCAACCGAGGACATATCCCAGAATTTCAGTTAACGTCTCGTGTGAAAGCGCATCAAAGTAGGCCTTGCCATCGAACCGATGAGCCCCATTAAAGTCAATAATGATGTTATAAGGCATAAGATAAGAAGCCTGACGCATAAAATATGGCCAATCCCAAAAAAGTCACTAACCAACATTTCCGATCGCAACCAACAAAACATAACTGTAGTACCACATAATCTCCGGTTAATTAAAAACTCAAAATAAATATTTAAAATACATTTTAGCAGACTAGAAATAACAATAAAAAAAAACAAAATGCCGAGATCGTTAAAAAAAGGTGCTTAACGTGTACATAGTATTTGTCCATGCAAATAACTGACTAAATAAAACGCCATAAGCACAGTGACGTTTGAGACAAGTGTTTTCACACACCTTTTCTCTAAATATCCTCCAGGAGTTAATGTTATATGAACTCAGGCGCAAAGCGCGAGGCACGTGGTTATGTCTTTCATGAATTGTTTGCGTAAAGTCGATGTAATTTTCAATTACTGAATTGCTAGTAACGCGGTTGATTATAACAAAGAGGATCTCAATTGAATTTGCCGATAGAGACGTCGAGGGAATAAAAGTTTCCATGGGGTCGGACAGGGGCAGGTCTATCAAAAACTTATAAATTTGGATGGAATTAGCAGACTCAATCGTAGCCATACCATTTTCTTTACATTAAAAGCACTTTTTTACATAAAAATGACCTGTGGTTTTTGTTGACGGTTGAGTCCGATGATTCCAAGAGTGCCCTTGAGATGTCAGCGAATGCTTAACAATGTTTATCAATTAATTGCCTATAAAGATAAATTCTGTACCATTTGTTTATCAAAACTTGTAAAATAGGATATTTCGTGGAAGTATTTATGAAAGAACAGAGTTCTTGAGACTAGTCCTTTATGCAAATGACCGTTTTGAGTCACATCTAAAGACTCACCCGAAGATGGTATCTCAGTGTCGAAAAAATGAAGGCATACAACGGAAGAGCTTTAATACGGTATTCAACGAATAGATGTCCATGTAGAGCAGGTGGGCTAACTCATAAAATGTCAACCTAATTTCCGCAATGCGTTTTCGTTTCGAAAAGATTTATTAAGAAGGGTTGTGAAACTAGTCAGCCTGCAACATAATTCTATAATATTTTAGTTACGTCAGGATGCCGGCTTTCGAATGAACTTCCCTC